GGCCTACATGCGCTGCCGCCGACTGGTGCCGACCGGCTCCGGTCTGTTGATGATCCACAGCTGGCGAGTGACTCGGCGCGGTCAGAGCACCTCGAGTGAGAGGCTTCTGCGGCGGCGCCATCCCGTGCTGTCGGGCAAGAAAGGTGGCGGGCGGAATCGGCAGCGCCTGCACAGTGCGCTACCTGCAAAACCAGTGAAGGCCGCACTGGTCTTTTATGCTTACTCCGCCAGTTGGCGTGAGTCGAGCGGGTTGTGTACGACACCACACGGGAAGTAGTGACATTATTCGTGTCAATGGCTTGCTGAGCTTGCAGCTTCACAGAAAACTTGAAGGTGTTAGCGACAACAGCATCATGGTCTTGACCAGTTTTCTTAATTATGCGATGTTCATGCTATTATGAATTGCTCGGGAAAATAAAGATAAGCATCAGGACCGCGCCCCTACGCTGTTCAAGCGAACTGAGCACAGTGATCAACCTTTGCAGCATTCCGGCTCTCACCTGTTTGTTGCTAGCAGCTGTGAATAAATAATGTACGCGTTTCTAATCAGCTCACAACTGAAAAGCAGTAGCAACTTCCGGTCAGGAGGTCGCCTACCTGCATCGGCACCGTTTTTTCAATTTATTCAGTAAATAAATTAAATGAATTAATTGAAATTAAAGAAATAATACAAAATAAATAAAAAATAAATAAAATAGAAATAAATAAAATAAATAAAAACTATTCAGCATTCGTTGAGGTGGTTACAGTTATGTTACTCTTAAACGATTTTGAGATGTTTGATTGCAAGCTGCGCGCGAGGTGTATGATCTCGGCACAAGCGCAAAATTATTTGTGCCGACGCCATCCTCCAATTTCTTATATGCATCTCTTACATCTCACGCATTCTCTCAGCTGGCGCTCCCATCTCTACATCCATTCATCTGTTCCAAACGTCCAATCCAGTAGCTCGCCATCTTTTAATTGATAAGAAGGTGGAATAAGGTTAATAAGGAGCGAGTGCTTAGATTACCCACGTGTACAAGAAAACCACTCATGTGCGTAAAGACGAGTACAAAATGTACGAATCCATATTGCTCAACCGCCTGTCTCATTTCGTTGATGACTTAAAGGCGACTTTCGCTTGTGAGGGATCGAGCAGGAAAGAAACTTGCTTTTTGACGTGCTCAGGTGGCATGCATGCGTGATGCAACTTAGCACGTGCTCCATTCGGCAGTGTCTTAAATAAATTGTGAGAGGAGGAAAAAGGAAAGTGGCCAGGTTTGCGTTTTAAAAGATTATTAAGCATACACGAGTGTCGTACACCGATATCAACAACCACTCAAACTCGCGGACGAATGCATGAAACGGCCCATTCGACAAAGGCGCAAACCCGGATGATGATCCCAGATATCGTACACTGACGGCATGATATTGTCACTGATTGAACTATCACTCAACATCGGTGCCGGATATAGATGATGGATACACAGGATCTCATTGTCTAACGACGAACCGTGGCAGCGTGTCGTTTTGGACGTTGGTACCTGTTGCGATTGGTCCTGGGACAGCTGCTGTCTCCTGGCAGCTCCAATCAGCACCTTCAGGTGAAGAGAGACATCGAGGAGTTTTAAGAGCGTGGCTCTTCCTTCACCATTGATCTCAGGTCCACCGCCAGCTGTCTATTCATCCATCCTTCTGCGCTCTTTAATAGCCTTCGTTGCAACACGTTCCCCTGCACCGCGGTTATCTCAATTTCCATAGGCTTTTCGTCGCTCAAAGACTCAGACAAACGCTTCACATCAGGAAGGATAGCCATGCCCGTGATACCCAACCTATGCTACATGAATGTCAGTTAAAGTACGCATTGGAATGTTAAGGAAATGGCAACACAAATTTCCAACACATGTAGTCAAGCAGGCTTTTCAGCATTAGGACGAGCGTGCAAGGTGGTGCACGTTTGAGGCAATATTAGACGGCACCCTCCAAATCTATGCATTTCAATAAAGCAAAATTTCCGGAAAAGACGCGTTAGTTCCGGTGATAACACTCAACCACGAAATTCAACAACCTGTACAAATCCGCGCCCCTGCTGGCTGGCTACAGTCTCCGGAGTTATGCGCAGGCGTCTTTCACTCTATCATAGCTGGCCGACGATGGGTCATCTGTCACCATCTCCAAACAGACACGCTAACGGCCGCTGATCAATGAGCCACTTTCTCCCACAGCAGTGAGCCGTTCTTGCACACGGCATGTACAAACACAATATGCTTGGGTCCCGACCGGAATGGGACCTATGCCCGCCTCGGTGTCGCTGCCGCATGCGTCCATCACCTCATTAGCCCCGCTTGTCACCGGCTCTCGGCTTCGGAACGTATGCGGTGCCTGCACAGCGGCGCCGCCCCTCACTTTCACTGAGAGCAATGTAGCCATTCGCGGCACTGCAGCGCCGCCTGGCCTCGCGGACGCGAGTTTCACCGTTTTTGCCCGCGCCGCTCGGCGACTGCGGCATCGGCGTTGGGCATTGTACTGCAGTGTCGATGACGAAACTTCTCTGAGATCTGAATCTCGACGCATCTGAATCACGAATGACGCTAGGAACTGATGCTGGAACTGAAACGCAGGCGGGCAAGGGCTCACGGGACGGGCTTTGGTAAAGCGCTGAACATAAATAATGCCTGGAGATAGATCCCCTGGATCGTAAGGCTGGACTGGACTTGGCCTTTCGAACCGGATGGAGAGCGCAATGGCTCGTGCTCAGCCGAAATGACGTTGGCAACGCCTCTCCTATATGATTTGCAACAGCGCCTGAACGGTGATTGCTTTCACCGGAGCCTGCGGTCGTTTCTAAATGTCAACAGAGTGAAGATAATTGTGCCACTTCCGGTAACTAAAATCTACAAAAGTATGCGTAAGTTTTAGGCAAGCACCAATGACACAAGTACACAGTAAGAAGGAATACGAGCACGGAATAAAAGCACGTGTACACAGGAAGAACGACGGGTTCACTAAAGCATACCGAGTGACTAGTCAGCGGTCAGACCCATGTCGCAACAAGCATCGCCGGACTAGAAACCTTGACGCCTGACGCTTGTCCAGAAAAAATCTCTCACCGATGATGAGTCTTTTGTGGAGGACATATCCACCTCTTGATTTCAGGCAGCCGATAGCAAACTTTAAACAGAATAATGTTTTGACAAACGTCACTTTACTGATTGGATCTGACACATTTTGTCATGCTGCATGTTGATGTTATTCTGCAAAATGTAGTCAGGTTAGATCGCTAGAAGCAAAGCTGGGCCATTCGCCGAAATGTTTGACTTTCCATGATTCAGTTTGCCGGGACTTACGGTAGTCTATCTGATGCATTCTGACAGACACCATCTGGGTTGTTTTGTTGCTGCATCATGTTTAGTTCCGGTGATAAGGATGAGGCTTATTCCAAAGTGTGATTCGAACAATCTTCTTTGGCTTGCGTGCGTTTCAGTGTGTGACAAATTAATATCGGCGTTTGACCCAATGTGTCATGGAATATTAATACCGTTTCTCCCTGCCAAAATACATATGATTTGAAAGTAGCAAAGATGCCTTAATTCACTAATTTAATGTGTTTACCTGACTTTGACGGTCACAAGTACTTGCACTGCTGCTCATTGTCGCTCATTTTATGCGGTTTTACGCAAGCGATCCGATGCCACCCTCAGCTTGGTTTTAACAGGTTTAGTCTTCGTGATGCCAGGATAGCTTGGAAATCATCACGGCCTCCAAGGGTGGGAGAAATGTCCGTCCCAAAACTGTCAGTTACCTAAAACGCTTGTTACAGATTCTACTCTTCGTTACTGTCTTCTATTCTGGTGCAAAACCACCCAATCGACCAACAGGAGATTGAGAGGCTGAATTGCACTTGACGGCCCTCTATACATCGCGGATTTCCATTAATTTTGAAGGTCTTCCTATTGCTGAGACCATCAGCCCTCTCGGGAGTCACTTAACCACGTGGACGCATTATTTGAACATTGTGTGAGCCATTCGACCATGCTGAGAGCTTGTTTAGCCGTCTAGGACATAGATCCCTGCCTTCTTGAGAAACTCTTTGCTTAGTCTTCCTCTGGCCACCTTTGGGGTTATCAGAGGCGCTGTGATATTCCGCAGAGCGTCGTGGAGCCCATCAAAGATACTGGGGTTTTCTAATCCTGGGGAGCCTGCAGACACAGTCACTCTCATTATTGCCGAATATTTTTGCTACGACTCCCTACGCCGCACGGTTGTTTAAGCTGTTTCAAATTCCTCTGGTAGGCGAGCTTATGAATATGTCTAACAGCACGCGCTTGGTATTACCTTCACTACCTTTAACCGCAATTTTGACGTTCCCGGTCATCTTGGATGCACATTGGTTGGCTTGATGTCCTCCATGCGTTAGAGCAAGTTGCTTTTGCCGAATCCATGGGCTTGAGCGGGGAGCGACTTCACCCATCCAAAGGCCCATGGTTATCCTGAGTGCTTTTAACAGCTTTTGACTCTTTAGGTGATTCCATAGCCTTGCTGGTTGCTTCCAGAGTCTGTGAGTGACTTTTGGGCCAGTTATTTACTACTCGCGCTTGTGCATATATCGAATGACCTGAGGGAGAAACGGTCCACTGGTTTTTCTAACTTTCTCGTTTCTGCTTTATGGGTAATGCTGCCTAGTTGCAGGCTCGGCAGGTGTTTTTTTTAAGTACCACTTGATTAGTACTGCGCAACCCTTATCTCAGCTTCAAAACATATGATGCCAAACTCACAAATTTCAGCTTGCCGTAGCTTGGCCACACCTGCAAACACGCCACCTCTGCAACACCACGCCCAATTGATGCCATCTAGTGGCGATTTCGCAACATCTTGAATGAGCGACACGGAACCGTCGAAAGGCTTCTGTGAAGCTGCGCTGGGCCTGCATGTCGGGCCCGTCACACACATACAAACACCCCCCACGCCAGCGAAAGCTAGCGCGCTGAACCGCCCGACCAGCACGCCTTCGGCGGCGCTGCACAGTGCACAGGTGCTGGTGCGCCGTGGCCGTCGCCTTTCGCTCTCGTCAGGAGACGCGCCCGCGCCAGTGGCCCCGATCGAGGTGGTGCGCCGCGCGGGCCGGCCGGACCACTCGCTCCCGAGGAGGCCAGCCGACAGCAGCGCGCAGCACCGGCTCCTCAGCGGCACCAGCAGCAGCGGTCGGAGGCACAGGTGAGCACCGCTGTCCGGCCGGGAGCCGGCCCACTGCCGACCGCTGCCCATGGTGGCAGCCTGTGATCGACTGGACACGTGTAAACAGATTGTAGCGGCTGGCAGGAGTGCGTGAGATCTTCAAAACGAGTTTGTAACATTGCTTGAAGGAAGGTAATTGTGCTTCAGCTGACCCGCAGTATGCCGCGACTACAATATACGTACTGCAAGACAGTTTGATTCAAACAAGTGGTGTCTTTCAGGTGCAAAATGAGTGATCTGAACGTGGTCACACCTGTGGATGATTTGTTTGGCGGCGATTTAAAAAAAATAATACTTAGCTAGCTTTTTTATCCAGCGGTAGGCCAAACAAGTTCTTTAGTGGGTGAGAAACACGGCACGGCTTAAGTGGTGGCCGTCACACCAACCTTCCTCAAACACAGCCAATGTTGTAATTTGTTTCACTGGATGCTGCTTGGTCCAGGGCCTTTGCAGCACCAGCTTTTCTCAACACCCTCCACCCGTGCTCGTCCCACCCATCCAGAAATGTAGGTAGTTGCGGGGCTCATCTTCCGTGTTAAATCCCGCCTTGAAAGCGTCTTCAGGTGTCAAACAGTACAATAAGATAGGCGTTCTGAAGACAGTGCTGACCGCAGTCCGCGACCGCACCGCAAGTGAGATATGCAGGACCGCAATCTTACCTGGTTAATGGCTCGATTGGTTTCACATATTTGCTCAACTTTTACGTTTCCTACTGCCTTTTAAATTATACAGCGGTGTGAATTATACCAAAATATCTGTTTTCATAATTTCGACAAACACGTGCATGCCAATCACTCTTTAAGCACCACTTATACACAAACACACACACACACACACACACACACACACCCACACACACACACACACACACACACACACACACACACACACACACACACACACACACACACACCACACACACACACACACACACACACACGCACGCACGCACGTACATGCGCACACGCACAGATGCAGCACGTAAACAAAGGTGCGTCAAAACACCAATACATCGGCTGGGAGAAGGCCTCCGCTGCCCGCCCCGTGTCCAGCCTGACGTCTGTTCCCAGGACCTAACGGTAGGTAATGGCGATATCGGCCGAGATAACCTTTGTCCCGACCCGGTTCTGGTCTAACGGTATCAGGCGCGCTTCGTCCCTAGCTCGGGGCGAAAAACTGGCCGCCGGCGGGGCCCGTCTGCCGACGGTCCGTGGCTCGGCTGCGCCAGAACTGATCCGGCGCCGGCCGGAGAGCGCGCTGTGACCCCATACGCCGGCCGTTACAGGTGGAGCGCTCGAGGTCAGCAAGGTCGCCCCAGCGTCGCGGAGGATGTCGCCGCTGCCCGAGCAGCAGGTGTCGGCCCTGGAGGGCGGCTCCATGCTGTCCGCCATCCCCGCCCTCATGCTCGTCACATCCAAGCTGCTGAACGCGCCGAGTCGCGACAAGAGGGACCTGTCGGCGCAATCGCGTCAGGGTCAGGCGGAGCAGGGCCGCCAGCTGCTCGAGGTCAGGTCATTCTCGAGATCAGGTCATTCTCAAGGTCAGGGCATGCTCCAGGTCAGGGAATTCTCTGATGTCAGATCGTGTTCGAGGTCAGGTCATGCTCGAAGTCAGGTCATTCTCGAGGTAAAGTCATGCTCGAGGTCAGGCCATGCTCGAGGTCAGGACATGCTCTAGGTCATGTCATACCCCGTACAGGCACTCGCTGAACACAGCGAATTCGGGCTAAATAAAGCTAACGTTATTTCATTCGATGGTAATGTTGGCTCCGACATGAACATTTAGTGTGATGTGAAGATCTCAGGGGTTACTGAGTAAACCGGCCGGCAACCGGCAGCAAGCTGTGAATGGCTCTGCAAACTCAGGGCGCACCCAGCGAAAGGCTTACTGGCTTAAGTGGCCGGCGGGAAATTCATTTGCATTTGCCTGTCTCGTGCGTCCGGTCTTGACGGTCAGTCAACTCGCCTGCAATGGGTCAGAAGCGCAATTACGGGAAGGAACCCCTCTCTTTCAATTTATATGGCCACTTTTGGTGTTTTTTTTTATAGGACATCGCTCTTCTTAATGCCGTAGCACCTGCACCAACACATGCATGCTGCTTGCAACAACATACTTGCAACATATTGTCCGCAAGATGATCGGAAACGAGTCATTTATACTTTTTAGTCCGGTTACTTTGCAACGTCTGCCTAGTCTGATCGATCGTGCCAGCTGAGAAACATCCGACCGACGTGACGTCACGACACAACGAGTCGTCGTCACATGTTGGCAAATATCGTCACATCTCGAGATCGCTGCTGCATCACGTACAGGCACGCCAGCCAGCTTTCACGCAACTGCACCTGCAGGTCGTCTCGCAATAAAATAAGCCATGCCCCACATCCGAACGGACCGAAGGCTGCCAATGTCCGCCTGACCTAGCTGTGTTATCGTGGCCGCTGCTGACCTGTTGTACGTCAGACTCCACCGCGGCACAGACTCCACCAACTAACAACTCAGCGCATGTATCGACCCGGCCGCACCGCAGCCAGTGTGTCGGCCGACCCTCCCGTCCTCTGCACGCAATTAACGGCGTCCTACCCGGCCGCAGGTACTCACCATGTTCCAGAACATGGACCAGTTCATTGGCCGCGACCCGGACGACATGTACGACATGTTGTGGACGGTCGACAAGGACACGGGCTGCGCGCTGAAGCTGACCTGTACGCTGGCCGCTCTGCCCAAGCACCTGGCCCGGCCTGAAGACATGCTGCTGCTCAGGATGTTCGGGTAGGCCGGCGGCACGCGGCGTACGGGACGCACGCCAGACGGAGCGTTGGGAACGCCGGGCCTTGTCCGGGGTCGTTGGCCCACAACGGCCGGGATTTATACGACTTACCAGGCGGCCAGGCATGCGGTTCGGCGAAGGTTCCGATAATTGTAGATGGTCTTGAGATGTATGTCTGGTGATAGCTTGCTAACGGTACTGAGGACATAGCGAAGGCGTTGATCACAACAGTTAGTACTGTATTTCCCGGTAGTAGACTGCTACCTCCGAACTGAGCGGCATTCTATTGGTTTCATGACTGTGAAAGTTTGCCAATAGGCAAAATCATCATGTTGTCGACAGGCTTCACCATATCGCAACTTCATGGGTGAAATCGGGGACGCGTTATGTGGCAAACCGTCTAAGCATGTAAACAGGCCAGGCTACACGCCTTTAGCATACCGCCGCCTCGTTCCGTGTCCTGGCATCTGACCGGGTAATGAGGGCAGGAAGAGCTGCATATATCAATAATTGTTTGTGTGGGTACCATGAGTACGGCTTAAAGCGTTGACTCGGCCGCGCGGATACAAGGTACTTCCTGTCCACCGTGATCTTGCGTAAAAAGCTGGCCAATTAGGCGTCACCTCCTCCGGTTAGGCTCTTGCACAAAAATGCAGTCTCCCATAGATGCATATTGAGATACCATGTTGTAGTCACGTTGTGGTCCTCACTCCGCCCCTGCTAATGGCCTCCACACTCGCTTAGTTGGCGTTCAAATTTATGAAAATAATTTTATTACGGACAGCGATCATAAGCACATGCTTCGAGAAAACGGCACGCTATGTGCTGCTGCAGCTTTGTGCCGTACATCGGAGAGACCAGAGACATTCACAGCAGTAAGATCTCTGTAATAACGCGTCCCGTCTCGGGGCTATGGCGCTGACGCCGTGTTGTGCTCGCAGGAAGCGTCCTTTCACGGTGCGCAACGAGGAGCTGGAGAAGCCGGCCGGCATCTACAAATACGCGGCGTTCATGGGGGCCAAGTCGCTGAACCAGGCGACCTGCGACACCCTGTTTAAGGCCTGCCCGATGGCCGGCGACCAGATGGTGACCGTGTGGCGCTCCGTGGTTGAGCTGGTGCCCTCCATGCTCAGCTCGATGAAACCGGGCAAGTAGGGCGCGAATCAGCGCACACCGGGCCGACCGGCGCAATCGGCGGCCAAAAGCGGAGCGTCACGGCTGACGCACAGCGGGCCAACGAACGTGACGGTCAGTCGAGAGGCGGACACGGTGGGAGGGCGGTGACCGTGGTCGAAAGTGTGTTGGGCAACGGAGCCGCGCGCGAAGCAGGGGAAGATTGGGCCGAGTTCCGTGTTGCATGACGCAAGAGGAGAGAGGAAGAGTGAGAGCTAGCATGCTTACCTGAGATGTAAAATGGGCACTTTTGTACGTAGTCTACGAGACTGGGTTGTTGCACAAGACTCGCGCACGCGTGGCGCTTGTCGCCGCTAAGGAGCTGTTTACCCTCCCTCGTATCTGGCGGAAGTTGTTGAGTATGTTTGGTTTTGTTAATATTCCGTTGCGGACAGTGATAGTCATCATCGACCGCCATGGCTTCATTCGTTGCGAATGAGGGCGAAGCGTCTTCCTCCTCTTCCGACACGGTTGGAGGATGTTTTTATCTGAGCTGTTATTTGTTGTGTAGTGATCACGTTTGTAGCGATTGTTACTGCTATCGAATATATGCATCAGAATATACTCAAAAAGGAATGAACAGCCTTTGGTAGCGCACACTTTGATCCGGTCGCTAAGGCGGACCAGCGCAACTACCAATGCTGCTCTCCAGGCTTGACGCGGCAAACTGTGTCACGCGTGGGACGCTGCTGAATCTTCACGACTGAAAGGGCACTCTGATTTGGGAGTCCCCAAGCGTCGACTGGCGCGACAAACCACAACGGTAGCATTGCATCAAACAGGCAATTTGTAGCAATTCGAAAATGAAATAGGTGATCACTGTATGCTGTTCCGGAGGATGTTCCACATTTCTGTCAGCTGTTGTTAACGTGAGGTGACGTCAGTCAACGACCACCATTTTAAATTCGATTGGTATGTCTATATGTGCATACACCACACACACACACAGACACAAACGCACACACACACACACACACACACACACACACACACACACAACACACACACACACACACACACACACACACACACACACACCACACACATACACACAACGCACACACATACACACACACACACACACACACACACACACACACACACACACACACACACACACACACACACACGCACACATACACGTACACCCACCCACAGACACGCACACACATACACACATACACGCACACACACGCACACACACACACAAGCAACCAAAAACGACTTCACAGCATGTGAATCAAATGTGAAAAATGTGAATTGTGTGACTGTCCCTTCTTCTAGTTTGGAATTCATTTCATCAGAGAGCTTATTCCAGAAAGCTGAGCTCGCAGACAAGGAAACAAGCATTACTTCAACGTCTCCACTTCGCCGCAGCTATCGCGACATAGGTTCTGGACCACGTTCGAATGCAACCAAATCTGCTGGTTGGAATGCGCGTGTGTATGACAATGCACTGCAAGCTTTAGAGTGCAGCTGATACAGTGATTTCAAACGGCACTAAGACTATGTTGCGGCACTTGTCACCGAAATTGAGACGTCAGGCCTCCCATCGCTTCAGACCTCCCGTTGCCGTTGGCATCTCATTGGAAATCTGTGTAGAACAAAAATAGCTACATTTTACGAGACCGAGTGGAGCTTCTTGCTCTTTTTATTCTGCTAACCAATCACATGCGCCTGGGCGCGCTCTCCTGCTGAAAGTGACGAACGATGTCTGAGCATCCTCTCCTGCTGAAAGGGACGAACGATGTCTGAGCATCCTCTCATGCTGAAAGGGACGAACGATGTCTGAGCATCCTGCTCCACTGTATTGGAAGAATCCGGTACTAACCAGTGCACACCAACAAGTGTATGTACACCAAAAGATGGAGACGCAAGAACGCTTAATCATGTAGCATGAGATCATCAACTGACATCCCGCCCCTGTCCTTCAATGCTCTCCTGTATTGTCTTGCATTGCCCACAAATTGAACACCACATTAAATTCACTGCAGCAGAAACACTGCTGCCGAATTTCTTTTACACTTGGTGGCTCTTTGATCATGCCAAAATCTTTAACCCATCCGAACATGTCTCTGAAGAAGTCTGCAATCTGCGCGTCGTTAATGCATTTATCATCATAGTTTATCCAAACAACATCACCCATTTGCATCCGTAGATCATCCTTTAAAGCCGTAACAAACGTGGCACCATGAAGTCAAGCCATCCGCCGTATCCACGCGATTCTACTTGATCGATTCATTGGCGGTAGGTTAGAGGCCTTCAATGCCTCCTTTTTCAGCACCCATTCTAAGAGTTACCTTAGGTGGCTTAGCAGAATGACTTCTTCACATCATTTTCATAGCCCAATCATAAAACCCAGTGAATTATTTCCTGTACATCGTAAATGTTGACATAAGCATACCGAGTGACACATTCAAATATTAAGCAATGGTTATCTTCCTGTTGACGTCAAGATCCGCTGCGACCATTGATCCAATGTGCGTTTAATCTTTGCTTCGCCGGCCTCCAAGTTCATTGAGCTGCAATCCTTTGTTGCGTAAAGCCAGACACCATGAATCTTGTCTTCTGAACAGAAAAGAAAACACGCATGGTGTCCTTACAAAACACTTTTTCCCGAACGGCATGGAGCCATATTTATCCATATCAAGCTTCAAGCGGAAAGTGATCAAAAATATTTCACAACTATGATGACCTTTTTTCTGAGGCACTATCCCTGACGAACAGGGGCGTGTCATCGAAATACCGTGAAAACTTAAAGGATATACTGAGCGCCATTTCATATTACAATGCGTTTGCTCCCTGCAGTTTTATGGCCAAAACTTTCACCACCAGCGCAAACAACGATGTCCATGCTGGGCACCTCTGCTGGAAGCCTCAAGAGGGCCGAGCCCCTTGAGAGGCTCGTGCAAAAGTTAATCACCACTAGCACGGATCTATAACGCAACAGCCGCAACAATTTATGTTGAAATCCACCGGATCCGTGTTCAAAGGTATTAGATGCGTCCTCCAATTCTAACAACATGAATAAGCCAGCCAGCTGCATCCCATTTTTAGACAAAGAGATCGTTACTGAGCAACAGCGATTTACAACAGTACACCGAAAGCCAGGAGATGCTGAGCGATACCTCAGTGTCACGAGTGCGCAGGACGGTACAAGATCAATGTCGTGACTCATACCTCCGAAAAACCTTCAGACTTTGCTTTGAATTGGACGCCATTGCACAATGAACTACTGTGCTTCAAACGAAACCTTGCAAATAGTCGTTACTCCAATAAAGTCTTCGCCCATGAGACCAGCAGGTTAACGTCACGATATCAGACGAAAACTGCGGCGTCTAATATCAACCAAAGAGAATCCAGAAGTTATCTGAGAATCAGAGTTAGAATCAGCGTAAGACTCAGAATCAAATGTCAGCTGCAAGACAGACGGGCGTGTCTTAAGAAAACAAGGTCTCGTGATGTCGAACCAGTAGCCAGGAAAGCGAAACAACGCTTATGCATTGCAAAACCGGAGATGTAGTTGAGAACACCATGAAAATATCGTCACAACCAAATCTGACGCCTTGAAACGCACTCATGAGCCTCGCAAATTGTGTTGTGACATAGGAGATTGTGGACTGCTGAAGCTTTCAAACCACGCTGTTGTCACTACCACCACATTCTCACGACAGTTGACCACACCCTTGACTGACGGTACCACAAAATATCACATAAGAGAAGAACACGGTGTGAAGTGGTGACTACTTGAGGTGACCTCACAAGAGACATCATTATCGTCAAGCAGAGGAAAGTCTTATGTTCTGGGGGCCCTCACGATCAAAGCATAGTCTTCACAACGCGACAACCCCTACCCCTCAGCCGCCCTTCATCTCATTTAGAGACGATTGTTGCCACTGGCAAATATGATCTATCTTAACTTATCCTGTTTTCAGTAAGTGTTGCATCGTTGAGTCTCACGCACCCGAAAAGTTATACTACCTTATTTAGGTTTTGTACAATTTCACGACATTGGCTTACTTAATTATCGCTAAGTATTTCCATGTAACCGTACCTTGTCGTTTGTATGTTGCGAGTTTGTATCAAAATGAAATGTGTCATGATAAGAATAATGATGCCACTGGAAAGATGCAAGTCAACGCGAGTTACTTCTGGCCTCAGTGAATGCACAGAAAACAATAACAAGGAATCCCTGCAAGCGTAGATATACTCATTAAATGCAACTTCTCCAAGATCTTAAACAAACCTGCATGGCAGACGATTTGATGGTCAAATATGTATCAGTATACATATATATATATATATATATATATGTATATATATACAAGGTCTATATATATATATATGTATATATATACAAGGTCTACATATATATATATATATATATATATATATATATATATATATATATACAAGGTAACAGAAGCGAGCCCACTTAGAGTACATCCCGAGTTTTGATAGGGGTCCGTCGTTCGTGGTCAGGGAAGGATGATCTCGAGGGATGCGCTGTCCGGTGTCACGTGTCATGACCAGGACACCAGTGCCATGTATCGTGACCAGGACACCAGTGCCACGTGTCGTGACCAAGACACCAGTGCTATATGTCGTGACCAGGACCCCCAATGCCACGAGTCGTGACCAAGACTCCAGCATCACGTGTCGGGGCCAGGACACCAGTGCCACGTGTCGTGACCAAGACACCAGTGCTATATGTCGTGACCAGGACCCCCAATGCCACGAGTCGTGACCAAGACTCCAGCATCACGTGTCGGGGCCAGGACACCAGTGCCGCGTGTCATGACCAGGGACACCAGTATCGCATGTTGTGACAAGGATACCTGTGCTGCATGTCGTGACCAACCCACAAATGAAATGTAGCAAATGTTCCACGGTATAATTGAAATGCGGGTAGAAAGCAAGGACTAGTATAGCATGTTAACTGGGGTGCGTAGGCGGAGGGGAGAAATCACCACAGGCTATGCAATACTTCATACGAGATGGAAAAATCCTTCAGTCCCCGGCCAACTGGACTTTCATTGCAGAAACAAGATACGACAGAAAAGAGAAGCATCAAACTTTATTTAGTAAAAAAACCGCTTGCCTGCGCTCCACAAACGATAGCGAACGATACGCCATGCTTCTGTTTTGAAGAGTGACGGTCGGCAGGAATCAGTGAATGTTTGGTTATGTGCATTTAGTAGAAGCAAATGTTACGGGATCCAAATAATGGCACCTTCAAGCTTGCAAAATATTGTCGCGCTTTTGGCATGTCATATATATTTCCACATGCGTCGCTTCCATTGTCCCTGTTGGCCTGTCTGCCTAGTTTTCATTCTTCGTTGAAAACTTTGAACCGTGCTTGAAGAGCTCTCAAAATAAATGCACCCATATGGAGACTCAGCGTGTTATGAGTCATGGAAAGGGACTCCTTCATCAAGTACCTGGAGCAATGGCCCAGGGCTTCATTGGCTAGAACCTTAACTTTGCAGGGTACGCTAATAAGCAGATGGGCGCAGCAGTCTTGGAAGTTCGGAGAAACATCGCAGAAGTCTTTGATATTCGGAGAACCATCGTCCA